ACATCAACACCTATTTATATCACATTATACAACTATTTAAATTCAAAATTTTTATTATTCAGATCCCTTCAAAATCCAAACCCCCAAACAAACACACCCTTCGTTTATCAAATTATAAAAGAAATGAGCACAGTCTTCTTGAATAAAGGTTTGATCGAAAGTTTGAATATTGGGTTTATTTGAATAATAAAAATTTCGAATTAAAATAATTATATAATATAATAAAAATAATTATTGATTTAATATTTTAAATAAAAATTATTTTTTAGTTAATACTTATAAAAAATAAAAAAATAAAAATTTAATTTAATATTTTTTTAAGCTTCTTTAATAGATAATAATAATGGTACAATAAAACACACCCAAAATATATTGACTCTAGATTCGATTCTAAAGATTGGTAATTATGCATATTTTTTAAAATTATGATATTATTTATAATAATACTCTATTTATTTTTGCATATTGATCTTTGAATATTAATTATTATATCAAAATATATTATAAATCAAGGGAAAATAATAAAAATATTTCTACTAGTGTTTTATAATACTAATATAATGATATTTGTACAAAAAATTATATATATATATAAAGATATTTTTAATGTTAAATACAATGATGCAAATAGTTAATGAATACATTGTTATTAGACAGATGAATTTTTTTTTTTAAAAAAAATATATATATATATATAATCCACCAACAATTATATTTTAAATAAAACATCTCGGATACTCAATTTTTTGAATTATTAATTTATTTAAAAAAAGAAAAAAAAACTTCAAAATTTCATAAAGTTAAACTTGTATCCAAGTCGAACTGAGTTGGATCATAATCAATTAATATGGGTGTGTTTGGATACCTATTTAAATCACATTTGGTATTACATTTTCAATTTCTATTGTTCTTCTTTTCTTTTCTTTTTTTTAATTACAGTAGGGGATAGTTATGGTGATAATTTTTCACATCTAACGCACGTTATATATATAAATAACACACATTAGTAATACACACAATACGTATAATAAAGGTATGTATTTTTTCTTAATAATAACAAGTGTGATGTAAAAAATATATCATGTGCTAAAATCAACTGTTGTGTGTGCTGTACGGGACTTTAGCATGTACTGTTAATTCATGTGTTGTATTTGTATTATATTAACATATATAATGTGTTGTCTGTAGTGATATTGTGTGTTGTCTGTAATAATATTGTATCTTGTTGAGACTACAACATGTATATTTTGTTCATGTGTTGTATTTGTATTATATTAAAATATACACTGTGTTGTTTGTAGTAATATTATGTGTTATCTAATAGCACACGATGTGTTATTCAGCACAATGCTGAAATTCAGCATTGTAATCGTCGTCTTTACGGTAACATATGAAATTAATCTATGGCTTTGCTCTTTTTGTTTTTTTTCTTTCTCGCACATTTTCTTAAAAAAATTAATATACTACATATATTCATTATTTTTATATATTTTTTTACAATTCTCTACCTCATATAAAAACTTTATTTTCCAACAATCTCACAAAACACACTATATTTATCTCACTATTTTAATTCATCTAATTAATATATGTATATATTTTTAATAATTGTATATTTCATATTCCTTCCGTCTCATATACCGTGTCTCATACATTGTAGACACGATATTTTAGGAATGGTGTAATTAGTAGATAACTAAGAATGTATTAGTGAAAATAATTATCCTATAATATAAATAATTATAAATTAAGATTAAGATAACTAATTAGTTTAATTAAAATAAAAAAAATAAATTAAAAAGTTTAAAATGAGATTAAAGTGTGTAATTTATTTTCCAAATAAGGAAAGTGACGTGGAATGTGGAACGGACAGAAGTGGCAACGTGGACATATTATGTTGGACGGAGGAAATATAATTTTAAAAATTTCTTATAATTTCCATATTATTACAAAATATTATCATTATTATTTAATTTATTTATTTTTTATAGGTAAATTTTAACTATTCATATATATTACTATGTACAAATCATCACATGTAATATATAAAAATAATATACATTTTTATTATACACAATACATATTGTTTGTAATAAAGATATATATTATTTATTCATAGTTACAAATATATTGTATAAGAGTATATCGCATTCTAAAATTAACTGTAATATATTATATAAGTAAATAATATATATTTTTACTTGTATTTATATTATATTAAAAGACATCTTATTATTATTGCTCAATTGACAATTAATTTACAATTAAAAGCGGGGCAAGTCAACTCTCACATAGTTTGCATATATTTTGCATACATATGAATTTATATTTTCTTCTCTCCTAATTTCAAATGAAAATGAAAATGATGTCATGTATGATTTGTCATAAAAATACATTTTATGAGATCGCTTGGAGAATTTCTCCAAAATTTTACTATTCATTCAAATTTTTTTCTTCAAAAATATCAAATCAAATATTTAATTTTATTTTTTTATATTATACTAAAAATTAATTTTACATTCAAAACATCACATCGAACACTTATTTATATCACATCGTATAACTATTACAATTCAAAAGTTTTACCGTATATTCAAATCTCAATTCAAAATCCAAACCCTCGAAATCCAAACCCTTAAAATATTATTTAAGTTTGTTTGCCCAATTTTTTCTCCAATACAAGTTCCAATATATATATATATATATATTAATATTATTTTCTTACAAAAAATACGCTCGTCCTATGTAATATGGGTGTATTACTGTAGACACGAGAATTTAGGTAAAGTATAATTAATAAGTAATTAAGAAGTGTATTAGTAAAAATAATTATAGATTAATATTAAGATAAGTAAATAGTTTAATTAAAATTAAAAAAATTATAAAATTTAAAATTTAAAATTTAAAATTTTAAAATGCGATTAAAATACATAATTATATTTCTAAAAATAGAAAGGACAAATCATGTGAAACTGACGAAAATAGAAATAAGGACAAATTATATGGGATTGAGAGAGTAATATTTAACATCAAATTTTATCTTTTATATTACTACATAATCTTTTATATCTCACATAAAATAATTGTTTAAATCAAAACACTAAACAAACAAACAAACCTGACTCAACAATCCATTTCAAATTGAAATCAAACAATATTTTGAAATAATTTTGGATTCGATTGTAACTTTTGAGATGTTAATAATTATGGATTATACCTATTTACAATTAAACAATATTACAAAAAATATCATTAAAAAAATAAATGAATTTAATGATAAGTAGTTTTATTTTATTTTTTTATTATACTACTACCTACAAAATTTTAATTCTACTAAAATTCATATAAAAAACAAATAATTATATTTGTGTTGAACGAAAAGAATATACACCATCTGTCTCATATCAAGTGGATCCATTTGATGTTTTCTGTAAGAAATTTTGATATTTTTGTTATTTGAGGTTTTGTGTAAGAAAGTTTGACATTTTTGTCATTTGAGGTTGTGTAAGAAAGTTTGACATTTTTGCCATTTGAGATTTTGTGTAAGAAATTTTGACATTTTTGCCATTTGAGTTTTTGTATAAAGTAACTGTATTTGTAATTGTAATTTAAGTAAAAGTTAAAAGTATTTTGGTATTAGTATAAGATTACTTTTTCTAAAATAAGAAAGAGATAACGAGACAAATGAAATTGATAAAAATAATACTTTGAATTGAGAATGAGACAATAATATTTTAGTGTGTAAGGATTTTGTATATTTTTGTCATATAACTTTATATAAAGTAATTATACATATAATATTTGTAATTTAAATAAAAATTAAAAATATTTTGATACCGTATAATTATTTTTTAAGAAAATAAAATAAAAAATAAACAATTTGAGGTAGAACAACCCAAAATAGTAACAAAAAAATATTTTGAATTGCAGAGTAAGTATATTATAATCTAAATATATTAATTAAATACCATCTTATTTCAACAATGTACATTATAAAATATTACGGTAATAGTAGTTTATTTATTTACTTTTATTTTTAAAATAATATTACCATTATTTAATTCTTATAATTATTAATAAAATTATATTATTTTTTATAATAAATATTATGTAAGGATATTAATTGAATCAAAATTTAAATAAAAAGCTCAAAATTTAAATCAAAACTATTTATTTTTTATTTTTATAATCTTACGAAATACTTCCTCTATCCCGGACAGAGTATCTCATCTATCTTAGATATGAGAATTTAGAAACGTATAATTATTAAATAATTAAAAATATATCAGTAAAAATAATTATTATTTAATAAAAATAATTTAAATTAAGATTAAAATAACAAATTAATATAATTAAAATAAAAAAGTATAAATTTAAAATTTAAAAGGGGATTAAAATGTATAATATATACTCCTTCTGTCCTAGTCCTAAAACTATAGTCTGGATTGTATTTGGCACAAGATTGAAAGAATATTAATATTATATTGGTAATGAGTAAAAAATACCGGTAAAAGAATTTTTTTGCCTTTGTAAGTGTATCAGTGTAAAAAGTAGTGGTAATTGTGTAATAATAATTAAAGAGTAAGAATAATTTTACAGTGATATGATTATTTATGAAAATAAGACTATTGTTTTATGACGAACAAAAATAATAAATAAAATTATTATATTAAAATGAAGAGAGTATTTTTCTTAAAAAAAATGATAAAATAAGTGAAAGACGAAAATGAAAAGATGAAAACATAAATGAGATAAGTGAGACGAGAGAAAGAGTATTTTACAAATAATTCAAAATTTTTACACAAACAAAACTGACCTGGCAAAATATTCAAAATTTTTACACAAACAAAACTGACCTGGCAAAATATTATTGGTTCCGGTTCATTAGACCGCATAAATGAATCTCAAGCAGATGGGCCCCACGCTCCTTACCCGGTAATTGTTAAACATTTATTATTATTATTATTTTATTATTAAATAATTATTGTCCCTCCCTCGTTCTGTCTGCTTCTGCAGAGCGCTTTCTCTGCAGACAAGAGACCTCATCGAAGAAGAGGAACAAGAGAAGAAGATCGAACCATTAATTTACTAGGAAAACCCTAGCTACCTCCCCAACTCCGGCGCCATTTCTGCTGCCCCCCTTTCCATGGAGTCTCTGTCGCGCCAGCGCCACGGGAGGAAGCATTCCTCCGCCGGAAACGCCCTTTCTTCCGCTTCCTCTCCGTCACTCTCCATGAATGATCCCTACGAAGATGTGTCGTTGTCCAATGGAGGGAAGAGTAAGTTCGCCTTTCATGAGTACGCCGAGATTTTCTCTGCCTCCTCGTCCATTCCGGTGCTGGATCTTTCGAGCCTGGATGAGCGGGTCGGTTCGAGAGAGGTCCAGAGCTCCAGGCTCGATTATTCCAACATTTTCGGCGGAGTGAGGAACGATGAAGTCGCTGTGCCTTACGAGGAGTTGCTCACTGGTGCTGCGAAGAAAATCAAAATGCAGTGAGTTTTTTTTTTTTTTTTTTTTTTTCTACTCCTAATTTGCTTGCATAGAAATTTATTTTTCATCTAGTTTTTTGAGATTTAGTAAGTTTTAGTGGAGAATTTGGGAATTTATGGATGAAACTGTTCGAAGAATTCAGTTGCGCATTGCTCTTACTGCTTGGCGCTGCTGTCAATTTGTATGTTTAGGTCCTGTGTTTTCAACAACAGTCAACAAACTATTGTTTAATCCTGATGTTGACGTTGTGCTCTTAGAGAATCGACTTATTTTGTTTCTACTATACAACACCTGGTTTTGCACCTTTTCTTAAAATTTGTTTGGGGCAAGAAATGATTATTGTTTGTATGGCTGCATTCTGTCATCTGACAGATCTAAGGTGAGGTTATACTTATTTTAGAGTACCTACTTCTCTTCTAGATTATGCAATCTTCTATATCAGAAGTATACATTGCTATATAATTTTCTAAAATGATTTCTGTTATAGGGTTCCATCCAAACCGTGTCCAGAATCAGGTTCCTTTCGCCCTTCAGGAAAGACAAAAAGGTCTTCTGGCGAGGCAATTGATCAATCCAGTGATGGTTTTAAGCAGCAACTTAACATGTCATTCAACAAGGTCAGTCCAAGAGAGAGCGATGAACCAAATGGGAAAACACATGTAGCACAATTCAATGATGTTCCTGGTTTCACTTGCTTTGTGGATGGAACACCTCAGCCAGAGAAGAAAGAAGTGCAAGGGCCTGTATCTCCTCTGAAACGTGAAGTTAGTCGCACCTGGAGTTTCAGTGTTGGTGCTGGTGATGGATTAACTTGCGAGAAACCACACATACTTGATAAGTCAGGCAATGTAAATGAAATCAACCTCAAGTCATGCAATGCAGAGGTGCTGTCACCTTCAAGTCATCCATGCAATCCTTTTGGTGAAAGTGATCCGAAGGGATCAAGATTTCAAGGTTTTGATTCTAGAGATGGTTCTAAAAGCAATGCTGGTGGATATTCACTGCCTATGATTGATGAGGAGCTAGATGAAACTTCAGTTGCTGCTGTTTCTGCGGCTGCCCTGAAGAAAGCTGTAGAGCAGGCTCAGGAAAGTATAAGAATTGCAAGAATGATAATGGAAAGGAAAAAGGAGAATCTACAAGGTGCTTCTAAGCCTAGGTTGAAAGGTCATTTGAAAGTCAAGGACAAGAATAAAAATGGGATTGAGAATGAGGTTGATGCATCAATCGAAAAAAATACATTGGAAACATTTGAAGGATTAGACAACTCCACTATAGTAACTGGGATTAATGGAAAGTTTATTCCATCCTTCAAGGACACTGGGAAATTTCTTGATACTGGAAAGGCTGAAGTGGAAAGGGTAAGTGCAAAAGTTGAAGAAGCAAAAGAACTAGGAGCATCTTCAGAGATGGGTAAGACATTTTCTACGTTGTGCGATCAGAGTGGAACATTTTGTAATGCTGAAAAGTTTGCATTGGAGACAGTTGAGACAGCTGGAGCATGTCGAGGGGAAAACAATATTGTTGGATTAGCTGCCAATGGGGAAAGTAGAGTAGAAGCATTGGAAACTGAGAAAGTAGACAACCATGATAAAGTAATGTGCTCCACTGATAAACGGCGGTCTCACCTTGAGGATGTGGAGAATGCTACAGGAAAGTTTGAGCAGCTAGCCATTCATCAATCAGAAGGGGGTGAAGCTGTTACTGAACTGACCGCAAGACCTTTGAGTCCTTCAAAAAGTGTACAAGAAACAGGGAAGACTGCAGAGGATTCCTTGCTACAACTTAAGGGAACTGTAGACGATATAACAAGAGCTGAAGATATAATTGACTCATCAGGAGTTCTTGATTCTTCTCAAAGCATGCAACATCGGGAGAAGAATGAGCTTGAAACATCTGAAAGTTTGTGTATTGTGCAAGAGGAAGGACTAACAGAGGAGAGAGATGATTTGGTTGATAGTAAAGCGGAGCATGAAAAGAAAGTTTTAGGTCACAAGGAAATGATTTTTGGAAAACACTTGACAGCGCAATCTGTGTTTAATAATTTGCTGAAGGGATTCCGTAGCATGGCTGAGGAAAACATGCTGAGGCTGGAAGACATGGAGAGTAATTCTGAAACTTGCCCTGAGTTGAAGGGAAATGAGCAACACGGGAAAACAAATATTGAAGAAGAGTGGTTGGGGAGTGAGCAGCAAGATGGAAGAATTGTAAATGTCGATCATGAGCCAGAAATAAAAGGCAAGATATGGAACTCTGAACATGATCTAGATGGAAGGAAATCTCCCAGAGACTGTGAGCAGTCTGAAACTGTTGATAAACAAGTGGAGCCTTCTAAATCGGAAGTGGCTGAGACCATTCAAGTGCAAGTAAATAATTTTGCTGAAGTTGTCTGCGATGCAGAAAGAAAAATTGACGACATTCATGGAGAACCAGGACAAAGTGAAGATCTTGAGGATAAATTTAATCTTACGGGTACTGCTGAAAACGATATTGGTGAAGCTGTTAGTACCTGTGATATTGATTTTGGTCCCACAAGTTGTGACAATCGTAGTAATGATAGTAGTGACATCACTGGTGATGTTCAAGAACCTTGTGATGTCGATTCAAATGATAAAGTAAAAGAATGTTGCGTAGCAGTTAGAGATTGCAAGGAGAGTGTGAGCTCGATCAGAGTAACTAATGCATTGTCATCAGATGAGGACAGCAAGACAGGAAACTTATTTCACCGGGAGGCTCATGAAGTGCCCGGAACAGATAGCTTGCGTAGATGTGCATCTGAAGAGAACTTCATTGGAAGCAAATTAAGCACTGCCTTTGAAGGATTCTCTTCGGATAGCAGCACTGAAAATTCGGATTTAATTTATGCAGATCACGTAGGAAAACTGCCCAGACCTTCAGACATGTTCACAGTGGCTTCAAAGGTTAAGAATGGTAGTCAAGAGGCCGAGTTTGATGACACAATTAGAAAGCCAGGATTGGAACAAAGCTCAGATAGCACCAACCAAAATATACCTACATCCATTCTTGAAGGCACAAACGAGGCATCGGCTCCTGAAAATCAAGAATTTGCAGAAAATGCTGATGAAAATACCTCAAAGAAGGAAGTTAAACACAGCTTTGATATAATTTCTGATGGAAGAGAAAATGTGGAGGAACAAAGGCAGCACCTGTATTCGAAATGGAAAATTGAAGATGCATATTCTCCACCTATTGTTGAATCCGAAGAAATTGAAATGGAAGCCAAAAGAGAGGTTGAAAAAGATCAAGATGTGGAAAAGGAGAGTCACAGTGAATGTTCCACCACACGGCAAAAAGATACCAGAGCAACATGGCAGAAGGTCGAGGAAAATGATCGCCAACAAAGAATTGAAGCCATCAAGAAGGGAAGAGAGAGGGAAAAGGATAGAAAAGCTGTTGAAAGAGCAATACGAGAAGCCCGCGAAAGAGCATTTGCTGAAGCCCGGGAAAAGGCAGAAAGAGCAGCAGCTGAGGCCAGGCAAAGAGCTATGGCAGAGGCACAGGAAAAGCTCGAGAAGCCATCCATCCTGTCTAAACAATCTTCTGATAAGCTGTCCACCACTGAAGCCAAAATCAGGGCCGAGCGTGCTGCTGTAGAACGAGCAACTGCAGAGGCTCGTGAACGTGCACTAGAGAAAGTAAGGTCTCAGAAAACTTACACAGAGGCAAGAACACAGGCTGAGAGATATTCTACCGAAAGGCTTTCCAGCTCTTCCCGGGATAAAGGACTGAAGCACAGTTTTTCATCTTCAGTGAGTATCAACTGTCCATTTTTCTAGTGATTTTTGTGCCGGAATAATGATCTAACGACTTGCATGTAGGATCTGGAGAAATTTTATGAAACTACAAGCGAATCTGCTCAAAGGCGTAAAGCAAGGTTAGAAAGACACCAGAGGATAATGGAGCGAGCGGTAATGACAAAATAGCTTTCGTATATCTTCCACACACATTTTCATAGTATGTTTGAAAATAGCTCGAGCTTGAGCTGGAATGTAATTTATCTTTTCCGATTTCCTTCAATACTGTCAGGCAAAGGCCCTTGCAGAGAAGAATAAGCGAGACCTCCTTGCCCAGAAAGAGCAGGCAGAGAAGAATGTAAGATTTCCACTTAATCGAAAATTTTAACAATATACTGATATTATATGATAATACTCCCTCCGTCCCATGTAATATGGGTGTATTACTGTAGACATGAGAATTTAGGTAAAGTATAATCAGTTAGTTATCAAGAAGTATATTAGTAAAAATAATTATAGATTAAGATTAAAATAAGTAAATAGTTTAATTAAAATTAAGAAGATTATAAAATTTAAAATTTAAAATGCGATTAAAGTACATAATTATATTTCCAAAAATAGAAAGGACAAGTTATGGAACGGACGAAAATAGAAAATAGAGACAAATTATGTGGGACGGAGGGAGAAATATCTTTCTGTCTGACGAATGCCATTGTTTAATCACAGCGACTAGCTGAAACTCTCGATGCTGAAATCAAGAGATGGGCAACAGGAAAGGAGGGAAACTTGCGCGCTCTACTCTCGACTTTGCAATACGTATGCTTAGCTCCTTTGCTTATCTGTCTATGATCTAAACATTTTTGTGTTCGCCGTGCACTAGTTTTCAATCTGCTTAGCACTTGGCTTAAATTTCAATGAGTCTAATACGAGCCAAGAAAAGGTGTAGTATCCAATGAAACTCATGTGTTACGACTCCTTTTCATTTTCAGATTCTTGGGCCAGACAGCGGCTGGCAGCCTACTTCCCTAACAGAGATCATAACAACTGCTGCAGTTAAAAAAGCTTACAGGAAGGCGACTCTTTGTGTTCACCCCGACAAGTTGCAGCAAAGAGGAGCTACCATTCAGCAAAAATACATATGTGAAAAGGTTTTTGATCTTCTCAAGGTATGTCGGCTATTACCCTCGAAACAAAAGCTTTATTACATAGGATTCTTAAGGCAGTTTCTGTTAATTATTTGACTTGATAAACAACTAGGGCGCGCATCTATTGGCTATAGGAAGCACCTAACAAAACAAGCTGCCAATCATAAACCATATACAGCAGTTTGGCTACTGTTAGAAAGCTAAACCAATATATTTAGCTTGGTTTTTATAGCTCCTCAAATATAACTTGACAGTACATAGTTTAAGTTAATACTACCTCCGTCCGTCTCTAAAGGTCTAATTAATTTTTTGCGTATTACAATTTATTATATCAAAACGTAGTACAAATTAAAAAAAATTGCAAAAGTATTTCTATTAGTATATTATAATACTAATAGAAGGACATTTGTAAAAAAAAAAATTATACAATTATAAGGATATTTTTAATGTTAAGTATAATGACGCAAAAGTTAACTGTGATCTCTAGAGGCAGACGGAGGAAGTATAATATAAGTACAACATATTAACTGACAACATATGATAATAAACCACACAGTACATGTCAACATTAATCTCAACACATTGTATAAATGCAATGTATTGAGTGACGGGACATGTTACATGTTAGCACAACACTTTAAGTTAACGTAATATAAATACAACGTATTAAATAAATAATAAGTCTACATAACACTTATTTTTCAATGGCAATCATGTGTGGTGTATCATTACAATGCGCTGATTGAGGCTAATCAACATGTTAAATAGTCCCCGCTATTGCCGTAACCGGTCCCATTGCTGTTTATAGATATTTTGTATATGCATCATTTCTTGATTGGCAATGCATATGAATCGAACTCTGATGATTTATCAACTTCAGGCTGCATGGAACCGATTCAACTCAGAGGAAAACTGAATAGCAGCGGTACGCCAAGTAATGCCGGTCCGTCGACAACGGCTGTTTTCGGAGGTACATCTTTTATTTAATTTAACCTTATCCTCCTTGTGTTGGTAAGAAAATTACTACATTTGCTGTTACCTAAAGGATGCTTGCATGGAAATAATTTATCCAATGGTGCCTTGTAATTTGACCAAAAAAAAAAAAAAGAGAAGAAACTGTGGGATATATTCAGGTCCAGTGTTAGTCAAATAGCTATTATTCTTTAGGTTTTAAGATATATATAAAATTTGCAATTTTTGTCATGCATAGGGTCCCTAGAATATTAAGGGTATGTTTTTTAAGCAAAAGTTTTTCAAATTTTACTATTTGGATTATGTTTCTCGAAAAGAATATATTTTTCTTTCTTACTAAATATTCTATCAAATATTATTTTCTTACTAAATTCAAATCAATTTTTTTTTTTTCAAAGTAAACACACCATAAGGATTATAGAACATAATATTTTCTATTTAAAAAACAAAATATATTCTTCTACAGTCATAAGGATAGAATTGCAACGTAGGATTTCTGCTATTTCACAGTAACTGTGAAAATGTTTGAAAATTATTGCATAACGTTACAAGTTTAGCAAACATTACAAATAAGATACTCTCCGCAGGCTCGTTCTTTGACCTTTATTAGGCCGGGGCAAAATTAGAATATTGGGCCCTTAAATATATTTTTTATATAATAATAATAATAATAACATAATATATATATTTTAATATAAATGTATTAATAAAATATTTTTTTATATATTAAAGATCAAAATATAAATATAAAATTAATGTGACATATTTAGTATAACAGAAAAAATTTAAAAAAAAAATATTTGATTTAATATTTTTTATAAAATATTTTTATAAACAGTCAAAAGTCTTTAAAAGAAAATTTTTAAACAAAAATATTTATTAAGGGTTTGTTTCTTTTGATTAGTTTAGGGAAAAACTTGGTTTGAATTTGATATTAAAATAATGTTTGATGAAATATTTGTGAGAGAGAAACGCATAGTCTTAATAGTAAAAATTAGAAAGTTTAGATTAAATAAACAAATTCAATGTTTATATAATACACAAATTTTTAAAACTACTAAAAAATATAATAAAATATACAAATTTAAATATATAAATATATAAATAAAAATAATAAGAACACAAAAATATTACTCTATCATATCTTTTTAATTTTACATAATTCACAAAAAATATAAAATCATACCATTAAATAAACACACTAAAACATACAAAAAAATAATTTAAAAAATTATTTATTTAAAAAATAATTATAAAATAAATTTTTTACTTAAATTTTATTTTATACCTTCTAAAAAAATAATAATAATAATAATATATATTAATATATAGAATATATATATATTATTGGGGCCCCTTATGGGCTTCTAGAGGTAATGGGCCCTGGCAAGGGCCCCTATGGCCCTGGCCCAGGGCCGGGCCTGTCCCTCCGTCCCACATATTTTGGGCTTATTACTATAAATACGAATTTAGATAAAATATAATTAGTAGATAATTAAGAAGTGTATCAGTAAAAATAATTATTATTTAGTAAAAATAATTATAGATTATGATTAAAATAACTAAATAGTTTAATTAAAATTATAAAATTATAAAATTTAAAATTAAAATGTGATTAAAATGCATAATTATATTTACAAAAATAGAAATGACAACTTCAACCCATATTCTGTTTTTCACTTTAAAATAAATATTTCATACGTAAATATTAATTTATTTCAAATAGGCTAAATTATAGTAATATTTTTTGTATTTTAATAAAAATACATAAAACTAATATTTTATTTTTTTGCGTAAAATTTTTTGTATTAAAATAAACTTGGCACAAAATATTATTTTCATTTGAAATTGATGTTTATCATAAATACAGTCTTATGCTTAGTTTTACATTAATAAATTAAATGAAATATTAATATTTATTTCCAATATTAATATTAAAAAAATAGAAGTATTTATATGTTGTATTGCCTTTATTAATATTAACATAATTTATGTAAAATATATCTTATATTGTATTGTCTTTTACTATATTATTATTTTATGCGTATGTTGTCAGTTATATATATTGTATTTATATTATATTAATATAATCAATGTATTATTTATTTTTCTATATCCTAAATTTTATGTATTAGTACATATTTTAGAGATAAATTGGGAAAAATTGCAAAAAATAAATTTCTCCACATATATTTATTATTAACTTTGTCTTTTATTTATTTTGATGATAAAATATATTTTACATATTTGTAAAAGTCGTTATTTTTATGGTTTAGTCGCCTGTGGAATGGTCATTATATGAATATGAACATTACGCGCGATCAAAAGACAAAAATTATAATTTTTGCAAACGTGTAGATATTTTTGCTAGCGAGATAATAAAGGAAATAAATGATATATTACCTTTATACTTTCCGATTATCTTTAATAAGAAAATATAATTATTACCTAATTATTACTATTTTAAATGACCGATTACCTTTTAAAAAAAGAAGTAATTAAATATTATTTAAAATTTTAAATTTTAAATTTAATAGAAATTATCTATAAATATATGTTGATTTATTTTGAATAATTTCAATTTTAAAAAAAAGTAAACTATATGCTTCAATATAGTATTAAAATTTATATAGATTAATTTGTAAAAATTTAAATATAATACTATATAAAAAATATTATTAAAAAATAAAAAAATATAGAAATATGTATAAATAAATAAATAATTTATATATATTACTTCATCTGTAATCCAAATCTATTCTCACTTTTTTTTTCTTTTTTTTTTGTTATCCAAATTTATTCTCGTTTCATTTTTTAGCAAAAAAAATACCATTTTTCTTTACCAAAAAAAGTAAAAATTTTTATTTTTACATATTTTTCTTAAAACTCGTGTCCGGTCAAATGAACACACAATTAGATGACGGAGAGAATAATATATAATAAAAATGGATAAAAATAAATAAATTATTATAAATTTTATAGTAAAGATAATGTGTTGAAAATGATTAATAATTGGTATTAAATAAAGTAAATTGAATATTGAAATAAATGTAATTTGAATATTAAAATAGATATGACTTGAACGAGAGAGATAAAAGACATAATAAACTAATGACTTAGAACAGATGCTCTAAGAACCCTATACTAAAAAAAAAAAAAAAAAAAAAAGAGAACCTATACTATTGACATGTCATATTTTTTTATTTTTTAAATTTTTTTAAACGGAAGAGAACCGTTCTCTCTCAAGAAAATTATATAATTTTTTTTATTTTATTATTTGATATAAATATTATTATTATTATTGAAAAATTAATACTCCCTCCGTTCCGAAACTATATTCTTGGTTGTATTGGGCACGTGATTTAAAGAATATTGATATTATATATATAATGGGTAAAAAATATAGGTAAAAGATATTTTTGCCCTTGCGAGTGTACTAGTGTAAAAGGTAATGACAACTGTATAATAATAATGAAAGAGTAAGGGTTATTATATAGTGATATGATTATTTATGGAAATAAGACTATTGTTTTTGAACGGACAAAAATAGTAAACATGACTATTGTATTGAAACGGAGAGAGTAATATTTACTAAAAATATATACATAAAAAAACATATTAATTAAGAAAATTAAATATCACATTTTTTAAAACTAAACATAAAATATTATATATTTAAAAGTAATATAAAATAATTATTATACAGTAAGATTTATATTAAATAAAAATAATAAATTTTTTGAAGTGGAAGATTAAAAATTATAAGAACTTTATTTTGAGTTCTACAAGGTAAGAGTTGAATAAATTTTAGATGAGTTCTTAAGTTGATAGGACATGATCTATTTGAGAGAAAACATAAGAACGGTTCTTACAATTTTTGCATTGCACATGGTCTAATGATTTGTTAATAATTACTCCCTCTGTCCCATGTAATATATGTGTCTATTCGACACGGAAATTTAGGTAAAGTATAATTAGTAAGTAATTAAGAAATGTACAAGTAAAAATAATTATTATTTAGTAAAAATAATTATAGATTAAGATTAAGATTAAGATAAAGTAAATAGTTTAATTAAAGTTAAGAAAATTATAAAATTTAAAATTTAAAATGTGATAAAAGTGCATAATTATATTTTCAAAAATAAAAAGGACAAGTTATGTGGGACGAACGAAAATAGAAAATAGGGACAAATTATGTGGAACGGAGGGAGTATAAATTAAAATTTCAGGATTATACATTATAAAAATATATATCTTTTAATTATATATAATATTAGTAATTATATATATATATCTTGTTCTCTTTAGATTTTTTCATTTGATACATAAGTTTGTCATCTAATTTATTTTTAGGTGATATGATTTTTTATAAATATTAAAAAAAATATACAATATATACTCTTTTCGCCTGAAAAAATTTAATAATTTAATATAAAATATTATTTTTTATATTACTAATACGATTATTCATATCTAATGTTAGCATACATTTATAAAAAAAAATATAATTTGAACCCACAGTTTTTAATTATACTCTTCGTTCCATTTGAAGGGTGACATTTGCTTTTTGCACGTAAATTTTTGAATATTAGTATTATATTGGATTGTAGTAAAAAAAGACAAAAATATTCCTATTAGTATGGTGTAATATAAAAGTAATGACATTTGTGTAATATAATGTAAGTTGAAAGAGTATTTATTATGTTAGATAGGTAGTACAATTACTAAATTATGAAATGATAACCTTTTTTTGGGACAGACGAAAATAAAAAATAATAATATTTAAATGGACGGAGGGAGTATCACATTTAACTTTCATGTTTTATACAAAAGTATTACATTGAATAATTGTTTTTACTTTTGAAATATTTGTTTACTTTATCTATTTTCACTCATTTAGTACTTTTATGATTTATTTTTTAATTCACTACACTAATTTTCAATAAAAACACATACATTTACATTTTTTGTTTGAGTTTATTTATTTTTTTTATAAATATTAAAATGAATAATTGTTTCACTTAATAATAATAATAACCCAAACATATAAAATATAAACGGAAAATAATTTGCTATTAAGATCCAAATTTAAAATAATACTCTCTCTCCCCCACATAATTTATCCCTATTTTCTATTTTAGTCCGTCCCCATAACTTGTTATTTTTATTTATGGAAATATAATTATGCATTTTAATCGCATTTTAAATTTTAAATTTTATAATTTTC